TTGCAGTGTTGTAGAGTGAAGATGTTTTTGTTTGTTTTTTTAAGTGTCACGATGTTGGTTCTGCATTGACCTTATAGTCATGTTTTCACTCATACTTTCCAAAACCCGCTACATTTAAATTTCCATTTGCTCTACCCAAATCATGTACCACTACTATTTTGCATATCTTGTGTCCTTTGGGCTCAAAGTGTTATTTCAAGCCATTCATATGTTGTGATGACAGAAATGTTTAGGGCAAACGGCAGTATTTTAAGACAGCGTTACTTATTATTTGCATTCAGTTTCCACTGAAATTGTCTTCAGTGTTTACTCTATCGTTTTCTGTCATTCATAGTTGGTTATTTAATTGAAGAAGGACCAAATGACCATAACCAACAGCTTTTAACCATTGTAATGATAGATCGATAGACAAGCGCTACTGTGTTTCACCCTGATGTCTGTATCTACGCAGCAGTAAGTCTACTAAAGAGAATTTAAAGTTTAACCCCAGAACTCAGTTAGTGCTGGATCCGTACAGCATTATTGTATTTTCAAAGAATAGTATTTGAGTATTTGATAAGGAAACTATGAGAGTTTTGGAAATTTCACAGACTGTTTATTAAATCAATACTGACCAAAATCGAGCCCTAGAACCAGACCTTGGACATGCTGAACCTTTCTTAAAGGAATAGTGCTACAATCTTTGCAAAGTGTTTGACCTTGTGTTGTACTTGAGTTCGTCAGACTATCAATCCCAAGTCAGGCCTGTTTGTGTAGCTGTTCAGTGAACTGCCCCCCACACCCTCTTTTGAAACTCCCAAGTGAAAACATTCCCTTGTGTGAAAGACAAAATGGGAAATAAAGGGCGTGGTTTCTTGTTGTTGAGTGACAATCGATTTGGTGGTTGGTACGAGGAGGATTGTGGGGTTTTAGCAACACAGAGAATGTTTGGAGAGTGTTTTTATGGATTGTAGGAGGTTCGGATTCTAAGCAGCAGGTGGCGTTAGTTCATTTTCTAAGTTGAGTTTAATGTGCATGGGATTTATCTCTTTGGGGTTTGGGATAATAAGTGTTGGTCCTATGTGAATGATGATATCTGTTGTCTCACCACTAGCCTATGATTGTATATTTTTATACCCCATATATAGCAAGATATATAAATAAATATATATAAAAATATATAATATTTAATCACCAGAATGTTATAGAGTAAGAAAAGGGCAGAACAGTAACCTGGGAATGTAATTCGTACAAATATAGATTAGAAATGGTTTGTATCAGCCGGCTGATTGAATGTCAGTCTGAGTTTAGTTGCCCCGTTGAAATGCCTGCGTTTTTCACCAATTACCTTTTAGACCAGGGGTTAGCAATCTTACCTTGGAAAGCTAAGTGTGGTCTCAGCCTATCACTAAAAGAAGGCTTTGACACTATATTATTTTGCTGTTAGCCAACATGCTAAACAGTCCCCCTTAGAATAAAAAACTGAGCTTCAAACACGTTGTTTTAAATAAGGATTTAGCATGAATTTTGAAACTTTAGTGACAGGTTTCACCAATAGTACTAGCTAATTGATATACCAGTAAAGAAAGATTGCTCAAGTCCGATAAAAAAAACAAAACATCCTAAGCCAGCCCAAAATATGTTCACTGTTTCCCAAAGCTAGCCTGTTGTTCCCTTGTGTGTGTCTTATCTTATGTAAAAAAAAAATAGCAAGTTAGCGTCTGAAAAGTTAGTGTCTGGCTTTAGCACCCAAACCTGCTCATCCTACAGCAGTACATTAACACACATATAGCCTTTACACTTTCAGAGTAATTTATTCAGAAGACTGAAGACTGTCAGGAAGAGAACTTGAACTGTGTCTTTATCCTTCTCTTGATTTGTACACGGCGCAGAAAGTAAAGTAGTTTAGCGTCTTGCAAAACTAATAGTCTACATCATTACATCACTGCAGCCTTCATATGTGTCATATGAGTTTAAATGATTACATTTTATACATGCACAGTGATCTAAATCCCCCTTTTTATGCATTGACCAGAGAGAATACTGTCTACGTTTCTGTTACTTTGATGCTGATGCTCATGAAAGCTTTAGGGAATTTGAACAGAAGGAATATATTATTAAATACACATTTACATTACAAGTTCTATTTTTAAATACTGTGTGTATATATATAGAAAGAGAGAAAAGTATATCACAATTATTAGAGATATATATATGGAATGATAGCCAAGAGAGAGATTTTGCAGGATCAAAAGTGTTGAAATCTAGTTTTGAGATGCAGAAAAGAGGGTTTTGAGGGTTTTTATTGGTTCGTGATCAGCAGAACATTTTCACTGTAGGTTTTTAATTGGCCGCTAAGTTTCCTTTAGGTGAGATTAGGCCTTTTGTCTGAGTGTCACGTCTGAAAAAGCCAGATTTTGACTCAGTGATAATGATGTGTTTTCTGACTCGCTGACATTATCAAACCAAAGGGCCTGATTCAGATAATGGGAAGCAAACACTGGAACAGCTTCTTCTGAAAGGTTGTCGGTGCATGTCACTTGTTGCATGTTGAGTCTTCACCCATCAGTTTTGTGTAAAAAAAAAATAGTATTAATTCACTGGTCAAGTATTTAATGGTGAGGAACTGAAGTATAATTTCCCTTCCGTGACCTCTTCAGTGTCCAGTGGATGAGCCAGATAAATGACACCTGCCTGCCCTTTGATTTAGGAATAACATTGGGATGTGCTATGAACGAGTGTAGCGTCGACTACAGCACCCCCATGTGGCGATGTAAAAGATTTAAGACTTGTGTGAAATCTTGTGTTTTACCCACCGACTCTCGTTGTTATTTACACGTAGATGCCACAGGATTAGAGAGAATAGATGTTTTTGGTGAAGGGACACAGTGTCTAGCGTCCGTTGATGGAGTTTTCTGAGCCAGTTTGTCTTTTCAACTGTGACTTTGTTCAGGGTTTTTAGCTGCAGCAGATTCTTCTATTCTCCGTGGTTCTGTGGGTCTTGTTCAGAACCCTGAATGTTCACGTGCACCTGCTTCTCTCCCACTGCTTTCTTCATGCAACTTCTGCTGTTTGTGAAGCTCTTCTCAGTGACTGCAAACTCCTTAAAGTCAGAAATGTTGTCTCCTCTATTTATTTTTACAAGTCTAATCTGTGATTTTTCTTTGAGTTATAGTTTCCTAATTATGGACAGAATAATGAAGGTTTTCACTTAAAAATGTATGTTCAGGATAAATTAACCTCAGAATATAAAGTCAGGTGGACTTTTCGATAATAATTATAACACAAAAAAAATCATATTTTTTTCCCTTTCCTTTTTACTTTTCACATTAACAGTGAACTTTAAACAATAGTCAAAAATGTGAGGATTTTGCTTTATCCCAAGATTTCTAAATAAAATGGCAAAAAAAACATCCAATTTTCAAATTAAAGAACAATAGTCAGATTGATTTCTGATTTTTAAAAAAGTAAAAAATTGTGTAACATATGTGACTAATACTCGTGGCTTCCAGTTGGTGAGAAACTGTTTAAATGGCGAAATGCAACTTTAATTACTGCTCCAATCATAGCCTGTTTATCCAAACATACATTTTGTCACAGTTCACTGTCATGAACAACATTTACAAGAAAATAGAAGTAGAATCCAGTGAGTTGATTCAGTGGCAGGTGATCAGAGCTCTGATGTTTGTTCAGGTGAAGGTCTGACGTCAGGGCTGGTCAGCTGGTGTCCAGTGACCATCTGTGGTCGTCGTCCACTCATCATGCGGTGTGTTTAAGGGCCTTTGACAGGATGGAGCTGTTTGTTTTTCTGTCGGAGAGTTGATTTTGTGTTGTTACAGAATGCAGTACGTAGTGATTTAAGTTAGGATGCTACTGTTTAAATGTAGTCTTTTAATAACTTTATTTATGGTCCAGAAAAAAAATCTGTTTTTATTTTATTGCGCTCGCAGTAGCTTTGGAGACAGGTGGCTGTTTTGTTTTCCTCACATGAGTTCTTTGACATAAGCCACGCCCTCTGAACTCTGTGAGGGATTTTATTGGTCCTGAGGTTGCTTAGTGACACTGGCCCAACATCATTTGGTTTCCTTGGTTACCATTTTGTCCTGGGTGATGACTGCAGGGTCTCACCATTGACACATCCTCTTCTTCTTCTTCTTCTTCTTCTGCTTCTCTTTTTTCTAAATGATAAATGATTGTTTTGGTTGTTCTTTTCTTTTCATTTCATTTTGGATTTTAGTAAGGAAGAATACAAATTAAATAAAATCAGAATATTACTTCAATCACTTTTTCTACTCCTATTTTCAATAAAAAGTGACAAGAAAAACCAAACAAAAAGTTTATTTGTAAATAAGCCGTGTACAGTTTGTATCTGTAACTTGTCAGTCTGTCTTTGGTGACAGAGTCTGTCTTGCTTATAACGCACGCTAACAGTAAATAAAAAAGGAAAAAAGTATATTTAGACTGTATGGTCCCTTGAAAGCAAGTTTTAAATTAACATCTGATGTATATTCCTGTAACATTGCATTTTTATCTGAGGAATGATGTTATTAAAAAATTGCAAATAAATTGCATTTCCTACAGCAGTGTTTTTACTCGTACTCAGACCAACTGTGTCTGTAAAGATTAGAATTCTATA